TCTTTGGGTTTGATACCTAGATTACCTGTAGCCTATCAACTGCTGATACCATGTAAATACATATCTTTTCTGGCAGACACTCACCTTTGAGTGTACATGGTTTAAATATATCATTTTCTGTAATCAATCAGTACCAGTTGAACAATTTACAGAATCATAAATGAGAGCACTAAGTGAAGGCAGTTGATGGTTTTTCAAAAAGTGCAGGATGTTTAGCACAGTGAAGAAATGGAGTGAAGTTTACAGATGAGTTGCCCTAAAAGGTTGGCTTCTGTATCCCCATCTTCCCTGCTTGTTCAGTCACACAGCCCGAGAGCCACTGACTTCCACTGTTCTATCCAGCAAGAAATGAGCATCGTAGAAAAGCGTTCTTGCCCTGGATGAGTTACGATAACATGTAATAACAGTTCACCGGTGCATGAATTTTGTCCTGGTAAAAGTTGGTCTTACATGACCACCAGCAATAATTTTATAATTATAAACCTGACGCAGTAGTGCTGTGAAATAAAATAGGTATGTAGGTGTCAAAAAAGTTTTAAAAGAGGAAATGAGAAGCTCTGTTGGAGATCAGAAAGATAGGGGACCCAGAGGAAGAATGGTGGCTTTCATAAGTTTTCTGAGGTACAAACTCGTGTAAATAAACAAATATAAATCACCTCATGCAGTTTCCAGGAAAGAAGAATTTGTAGTATTTTTATGTCCTACAATAAATAAACACCCTGTGGAACTGGAAGTCCCAATATGAAGTGTCATTACTAGGATGCATTGATTTGTTTATTTACCAGATTAATAATATTTTATGTTTTGCAAACATGAATTCAAAAAAACCCACAACTTACTAGATGTAAGAGAAGTGCATTCAAAATTAACATTACCAAGAGAAACAGAAACGCAGAGAATCCCTGTTTCGATGTGCTTTTATTCTTGGAAGAATTTATAAAACTGAATTTGTGAGGATGCTGAAGCATCTCCGGTCACGGCATACTGAGTTATAACTGGAAAAGACAGAGGCTGCCCATAGCATTTATCTGTAAGCAAGTCTAATGCGATTCCACAGAAAAAAGCTGCACTCATTTCATGTGGGATTCTATACTTGCCATCATGTCCTAATGATTTAATAGTTACTTTTCAAAATCTCTTAAACAGGAGGCTGTTTGTAAGTACCTGAATAATTCAGCTTGCGTTGTACGTAACTTTTCTTGTAAGCTAAAATATCATTTTTCATGGCAAGAATAATATAATAATCTAGTTTTATCTTGAACTGTTGAGTTGTTATAAGCAACAAAATAGTTTGAAGTTGTGTTGAAGTGAATATATTTTTAGGGTGATCTGTCATTCAAGAATTTGTCAAATTCATTTTGGTATGGTGGGGCTGAGGTTACATCCTTATTTGTGGTAATGTAAAACATCATTTAACTCTCTGGCATTATTTTGATAAGTAATGCTTATTTTCCTAGGTCTGCAAAGGGCTCTTAAGAATTACAGAAGAGGTCCTTTTACAATTCATTTTTATAGTTTCTTTGCTTTAGTTTGCTATGGCTGATTTTTTTGTTTGGAGCCATTTTACATCTTTCAGTGGTAGTGCCTGAAGTTATTAATTAGGTTCTTACCTCAGTTTTACACTTTTCAGGTCACTGTGATGTGCCATTGAAAGAAGCCCATTAAGATGAATGATGGGGGTTGTAATTTCATTAGTGTCACCAATGCATTGCACTTTTTGGTTTAGGCATCTCTTTTCAGTTTGTGTGGGTCAGGCTAACTGTGCAAAATGTATTTTTAAGATCAAAATAGTTAAAAATGAAGATAGATACTAAAGCAGTTAGCCCAGATGCTGTAATTGTTCTAGAGGTGTAGGCTACAAAACCACTTTGTATTAAGGAATGTTCAAGTAATTGAGTTTCACAGTATAAATTAAAGCCTCTTGGTATCATTATGCGTATTGCGGTCACATAGTGATATCTTGTGCCAGTGGAATAGCTGGGTTTTATTTTTCAGTCTATGTGTAATCCTTAATGAAAACACTTCTCTGACTTGTAAAGGTTTGAAAGTCATAAACTAGATTAACCATTTCATCTGATGAAGCTTGGACAGAGATAAGAATAAATTAACTCTTATGAACATGCATAAAGAGAGAAATCATTTAATGCAACAGAGGAGCAGCGTTGCTTGCCAAGCAAAGAGAAGTAATTGGAAAATTTAAGATCCTGGTGAGAATTCCTAACAGAAAATCTGGAAAAACAGGTGCCATATAACGTTTCTTATTATTTGCATCCATAAAAATAAAAAGTAGGTTCTGTTATACTATGCAATCAGCTATGCCAAACTCATATTACTATTGCAGAAGTTAACAATCTTTTTTTAAATTATGATAGCAGAATGCTTGTCTTTCATTTATCAAACAGTGAATCTCTTCTCATTAGACATTGATTTTTACCGTAGTCAGGTGTACTGGGCTAGGAATACTTGTCCTTTACTGTGGATCACCTGCCTGTGGTTTTACTGTGGATTCACCTGTGATTCCAAAATCATAGCAGTAGGGTTAAACTGTATTGACATCCTTGTATGTCAAGGTAAACCATCTTTTTAGCCTGTGTCCTTTTTAGGAGCACATTTGGAGGTTGGAATAGGAGAAGATCTGTTCCCATTCACCAAAAACGTTTTCTCGGTAATCCCCAAACTCCCCCAGTCTTCACGTCATCCTCTCTTTACAGTCTGTTTTCTAGCAGTCAGTGTTGCTCTGCTGATGGTTATTTTCTTATGACATTTATGACATTTTTCTTAGTTGACATTACCCTGAATACAGAAATAGAGGGATTCCATTACAGATCAAGATGCCAGTCTTGTAGGCATTTGGAGCATTTCCATCTTGACCCTTCAGAATTCTATCAGAATTCTAGCCTAGTCAGACTCTCCCAGCTACCAGGAAACAGATAGGACTGTCACATGCCTCCTGAGAGTGGGGAAATTATTATCTCTAGCATTGCCCCTGCTATTCAAAGACTTTGAGGGGTTGTAAACAGGCTTTTGTCTCCCTGTGAACTGTAGGAACTCTCCTCTAGAGTTCTTCAAAAGCATGGTTCTGCTTGCACTGATCTCAGCAGGAGTCCCTAAATTGATTTCAGAGGGAGCAAAATCAATCCTCTGCTTTGAAAACTACAGTATTTCCCATAGCACAGCCTTGCCTTAAAAACAACCAACCAGGAATTTATTTGGTTCTCAACACACAGAGTTTTCATTTAATGTATCGCAGAGATGCTTTAGGGACAGTCCATGATATAACTTGAGTCACCTTTGAGAGTACTGTGTTACGGTCTCAAGGAATAGTAGAAGGTCAGAGCTGAAGAAGCAGGCAGTTGTCCTCTGACTGCTGCAGTGTGAGCTGAAGAAGTTATTGCCACATCTGTTTATTGCTGTCCTCTTGATGGAGGTTTCTGTCCCCACTGAGCTCTTCCTGCAAGTGCTCCTAACCTGTTTCAGTCCAAATGATAAGGTCAGTGATGATTCTCTATTTAAACTATGTAAGCTATCCTATTACAGTGCTGGATTCTGTTTTCCTCCTCTGTTCAAAACTCTTCTGTATTGTATTGCAGACCACTTGAAATGGCTATATATAATGCTGTCAGGCTGTAAAGCTTACCATTCCTATTGCACATCACTGGTTTTGGATGTATACCCAGTATAGGCAGATAAAAACATGACAGAAAAATTGTTTTAAGAGTTATTTCATCTTTGAAAAACATTTCCCCTAATTTGAAGCATTTTTTCAGACTGGAAAAAATGACAGAAATTGTAGGTGGTGTGTGTCGTTTCACTTGCTTGGCTGCATTGTTACCATTCCCCCTTGTAGACTGGCAATTAGATGATTCATATAATAATAAGATACATTTTTGTAGTAATCTGTCTTGTAGGTACTTGGCAGTTTTATTACTAATTTGGAGTGGCCATTGGGCCTGTTCTGTCATGCAATTAGATTACTAACAGAGTATCCAAGTTGTTCTGCTGTCCTGCTGGTTTCATTCTGTGAAATAACTTCTCCCCTGCCCTGAACACCTGCCTTGTATTTAAAGATGAGGTCCTGCACCAAATCGTATGTAGCTTTCCTGTTTCAAATTTCTCAATTCTGTTTACAGTCAAAGGAGTTCCTGGGTGGAGATTTATGATAGTTACATGCTCTTCTAATTAGGATAATGTTTACATCTGGTTTTAAAGCCTGCTTCAAAGATCTCATTGAAATCACTGACTAGCTTTGAATTTTGAGCCTGCAACACCTCATACAGATGACATTTTGAAGGGCTCAGATGTTACCTTTCCATGTGATTTTTTACGAGCCATTACAAAGTCTTGCAGATATTATAGGAAGACATAGATTTCATTTTGTAGGGATTTAACTGTACATTCCATTTATTTCCTTCCTCAGGTATTCAACATTAAAGATGGGTTGCTCTTGTTCTAATGTCACCAAGGATTATTAATGGAAAAAAAGTCTCTGCTGAAAGCAGTGAGAGTTTTACCATTGACTTGACTACAGCTAGTATTTCACCTCTGAAGTGTGAAATAAATAACAGGAGCAGCCTTGGGGGGAGTGGAGCGGGAGGAGGGGAAGAAATCTGTGGCTGGGGTCCACAGGAATAACCAGATCTATTTTAGAGGGGAATAAGTGGAATCCAGCTGAAACATGAAATACTTCATGAGGGGTATGGTAGGTCTGGGCTCATGGTTTTGAATAAAATATGGAATGCTCAAAGAGAAATGTGAGATGGTGAGATTTCTTTTGACAGGTTTAGTGAATGTTTCAATGTATATACACCTAGAACAATGAACAGATTCAGTTTACAAGGCTGTAATAAATATGCAATTGTCTTTCGGTTTGCTGTGGGTCAGCTTACTGTGCTTAATATGTATCATCTGTAAAGTGTGGCTGATACTTGCAGGTTTTCTTGATGGTTTCTGATGAATTGTTTCGAGTAAAAAGTTTACCATTCTCCATTGTTCTCTTTTAGAAATATTCTTTACAGACTAGATGAAAGGACAAGCCAGTTTTCAGTACTACTAGAGGCACTGGAGCACTGCAAACTGCATCAGTCAAATGAGACCATTCAAGCAGCTTTGTCAGAGGTACTGAACAGCATCAATTCAGCTCAGGTTTACTTCAAAGCAGGACTTGATGTGTTTGAGACTACCTTAGCTGGAAAGAAATGAGAGAATTCTCTGCATTCTAAGACAATTGTTTACAACTTGCTAAACAAAAGTTCAGCTTGGACCAGAATTTCTCTGAGGATGAAACCTTTCTCAGCTTTTCTTTCAGTTGGCACTTAAAGGTACCACAATGTGTGTTTTTATAAATAAAAAACAGTCTTTTGCACTGTTCATGATATATCTCAAATGTCTGTTTCTGAATGTATAAAACAGTGAGGTGGAATAACACTTAAGATACGATTTTTGAAGGTCATCTGCTGTATTTTTATATGTAAAATCTATTTTTATGAGTAACAGCTCAATCTTGCAAAGTACTGAGCACATCCTGCAATATGCTGAAGAAGTGGTTCTGCGACACCCCAGATGTATACCCAGGTGAGATTTCTATGCCTACTTGTGTTTCTTAAGTTCCTTAACACACTTATCTTCTTCCTTACTCCTTTCAGAGTAAGTAGTTGAAGTCTGTGGCATTTGCTTGGGTATCCAGTGTTGGGGTTAATCAGGAAATGTACAGAACACCCTTAACAGTGTAATCCAGTATCTTTACTCCTGTGGAACAATAAATACCTCAATTCTGAGAGTACAGATAAACTTTCATTATCCCATTTCTATATGAAAAAGAGTTGTTTTCCCTAGTAATTCTTCAAGAGAATTTTTTTTTTATCATTTCAAATTGTTGAAAGGTTTGAATCAGTAATTACAAAAATACTTTGTACCTTTATGTTAAATAAAAGAACTGCCTAGTCTTATAAAGCTACAGGCCTTATAAGCTTATGCATTACTGAAAAAGCCTACTTTAAGGTCTCCCTAAATTTCCAGAGAGCAGTAAATAAAAATAAGGCCTCAAACTTATGGGAACTTTTTTGGTATTCCACCACTTGGCCACACCACCCACTATTCCATGGATCATTCTGTAAGTAGTGCCTGGCATATAGGATCTGAACTGTTGTCAAAAAAGCAGAAGGAAATCATATATCCGTTCCCTACTGTAGAACCAGGAATTCACCTCTGAAGGCACAATCAGATGAATCATATTGCAGAGCCAAAACTCAAATCTGTTTTTCATTGGTGGAAGCCCTGTACAAAGTCTGTAATCACACCATTACCTTGTTGGCCTGAAGTAATCTCTGAAGGAAAGTATCAGGAGGTTCAGTGTCCTCATCCGTAAGGCGATAGTAGACAAAATTGAGAATTGCAGGTCTAAATAATATAAACAGTTGAAAATGTTAAGCCCTATTGGGTTTAGAGTTTTACAGTCTCAGATGGTTCTGGGTTTAGTGCTTAAAAATTTTATTTTATATAGCTACTTAGAATTGAAATATTATTTATTTGGTGGAAACATTAAATGTATTGTTACTCAGTTTGCCGTGGAAACATTACAGAAACATTTCAAGTTGCAATAAAAATAGAAAAAGTATCTGTATTAATGTAAAAAATAAAATGGCTTTCCAGAAAATTTCAAGGAGCCCAATTTGGTGTAAGGCTTTAAAGTGTGTTTTGACATAGCAAGAAATGAAAGTTGTTTACAGATCTGTGTTTCTGTTTCCAGGAGCCCCTGGCAAATGGGTCTCTATTAGCAGCGACCAGTGACTAGATACATTTAGCTATGATGTTGCTACATTTCTTGCAAGTTATTATCATAACGTGGACAAAAGTGTCCCAGGTCTGACCAGAGGCTGGACTGCCCAGTTGAATGGCTACAATTGAAGTGGGAGTACATTCAACATCAGTCAGCGTGACTGCATGAACTTAGACATGATTATCTCCTATCTTTGCTTGGCAAGATTATATGATTATTCTTTTGCTAATGCTGATACAAATTCTGTTTACTGCAGAGAGAATTTTACCTTTTTTTCTGCTACTATAATGTTTTTCATCCCCCTGATACCATTAATTTTTATTGGAATATTTAAATGGCTGGAATAGCCACATTTGAGATACATGTTTATTTTGAGATAGTATTTGAGGATGTACTGTGCACATTATATTTTACTTGTATTTTCTAATATGGACCACTCTTCTAACAGTTTGTTTAGTAACATATTTTCTTTAGAGCGCTGACTTGCCATAAAGCTGACACCTCCAACATCTATGGTCTTAAATGATACAGTCAGGTGCCATTAAGAGGCCAAAAATAGAAATGAACATTTCCTTTAACTCTGACAGGTGAATTTAATAGCTGCTTCCCCTGTCTTTTTTTGTTCCACCAAAATCATCTCTGATGTAACCACATGCATGTACTCATGCAAAATCTGTGAAATCTGCTAAGAAGAGTATCCCTCGTGTATTGATTTCTTAACCATGTAATTCCTCACTAAAGCCTTTTTTTTGTTTGTTTTCTCACTAGTGTCCTTCTATAACCGCTTTTAAAATAGCAGTCTTAAAAGTGCTTCACCACAAAAAGCACTGCTGCTATAAATGCCTGTCTATTCTAGAGACAATCATATATTCCTTTTGGTGAGACAAATCAGATAAGCCACTGAGGGACTTAAATCCATTGATTTCAGTGCCATCTCACACTTCTAGATCTCTAGCCTTTTATTTGAAATGTTCAGATCTTAAGTATAAATGAATATTCAGTGATCATATTTGTACCATTATAGCTTCAGAAAAGGCACTTCTGAGCCATGTCCTTCCATTGATTTTTAAATCCTACCTATTGGACTCAATGTATAGTAAGTTAAGGTCCTGAGAACCTGGTGTGTTTCTAACAGAACTATTCTCCAGCCAGCTGTGGAACATCAGCTGAAGGAAGAGGTTAGTGAATCATAGTAGCTTACCCAGATTGAATTCATTCCCCTATTACATTGAAATAAATGAAGTGTCCTTAAAGCAGAAGTATGTTTGCAGTTACCTGAATGATACTAAAAGTTTGTTACCTTTCCAAAATATCAACTGCCAGAGACGGAGTAACAAATGCAACAGTTGCAAAGTAATCTAGAGTCATGGTCACGGTGACCAGAAAATCGCTGCAGCTTGCAATATTTGTATGCTGAGACAGTTGATAATAAAGAGCTAATGAGATTTTATTAGTGCATATTTTAAAAAGTCCATAAAGAAGCTGAAGTACAATCAACTCAGATGAATAATAAGTACATGGGAGCTGGGTTTTGAGTACTGACCTTAAAAAAGGCAGTGAATTGCTTTTATCATCCAAGAAAAACAGTATCTGGGCAAATACACAAACACACAAATATGCACTACTTTGTATCTTCAAAACATTGTACAAACACTCATTTGCTTGCTGTGATATGATTCGGCTAAGTAAATGTAGACATCAATAATAATTACATGAAAAAAACAGCAAACAGTTTACACTGCTTCACTTAGCTTTTAGGGAAGTATTACAGTCTGGAGGTTTAAAGGAATTCATTGGAGCTGACCTCACTTCCTGCAGCAGTAGGCAGGGAACAGTTAGATCTCTTGGGTATCACAGAAAGGACCTCTGGAGGTCATCCAGTCCAACTTCTCTGCTCAAGCAGGGTCACCTAAACACAGTTGCCCAGGAGGGACTATGTTCAGATTACTTTTGATTATCTTTCAAGGATGGAGATTCCACAGCCTCTCTGGGCAACCTGTGCCAGTGCTTTGCCATCCCCACAGAGGAAAAGTATTTCCTTCTTCAGTAGTGTCCTGGGTTTCTCCAAATATCTCCCTATATTTCTTAGTTGTTAAATTATTGTAATTGGTTTAATTGCAAACATTCAAAAGATAACCATTGCTTAATTCAATGAAAAATCTTGGCCAAGGTCTCCAGGATTTCACAGTTAATATTGCTGGAAATTTCACATAAGATTTGTCCTGGAAGTCATGGGTTTTACTTGTAATTTGTAGAGACTAATGCCTTTATCTTTGGAGGTCTTTTTGTATGGTCCCTTGTTCCCAGCCACAGGATTTCTATGTACATTGAAAGAGTGATCAGGAATAAAAGATGGATTAGAAATTGTAGGGAAGAAAAATGTCCATTAGCATATGTGTAGCTGTGTATTATTTTAACCAAACTTTGAGAGATCGATGCAATTCTATGGCTTGTGTTATGCAGAAAGGCAAGATAATTTTATGGATCATTTTGGTTTTGAAATCTATTAAATATTATAAACATAGTTATGTCTGGGCCTATATCTTCAAGGGAGCAGTTAAGAGCTTCCTTGTGTTAGAAGCTGTTATCTGGGTTACTCAGAAATGCATACCTCTGACGTAGATTATGGTTGCTATCAGGAAACAAGAATAGTGTGAAATATGCTTTTTCCCTTTAGTCCTCTGTAACGTTTCAGCAGTATTCTGCCAGTCACGGAGAGGTGAGTGATGGGAAACAAATCTCGTCTTAAGATGCCTGGGACCTGAATTTTGAAAACAGTCTTATACAGCACTAAAATGTTCAAAACATAGTGAGGTGTCTTCTGTTGGAGTTCTGAGTCTAGAAAACTTGGGATAGAGACTCCAGTATGGGAAGTAAATGTCTCAAAAATATACAATTAATTACTGTCTTTCAAATATTATATTAATGGTAAAAAATATTTTATCCCTGCCTTCCAATGCAAGGATAGAATTTCATCACCCCAGATAGTTTTGGTAGCTTTAACCATCGGAGTGTCTTCTCTCACTTTGCCACCATCTTCTCCTAACCCCTGCGTGCAACTTCTCTCAGAATTTTGTGTGATATGATGACTTTCCCTATTTCTCACCACCTTTCTCTTGGTCATTCCTACTAGTTTTCTGTCTTCATTCTGGTTTCTTATCAGTAATTAATCATCACACTAACTTACCAACTACCACTTCTTAAGTTCCCCTTTAATTCCCCCTCTTTTCTTCCTCTGATCTCAGTCATGTTCTTTGTTCCCCATCTGTTTCTCAACTTACCTCTAGTAAGTTTAAATTCATATTCCTGTTACAGCTGACCATAATAAAGAGCTGAAAGTGACACAAAAGTCCTGCTCAGATCCAAATGCATAAAAGCCAAGGAGGCTTCAACTGTTAAAGTAGTGTCTTCTGAGTATGTGCAAAGAGCAGTTTTACAGTTATAATTTGAGAAAGTTGGAGCTGTTCAGCATGGAGAAGAGAAGGCTGCGTGGAGACCTCAAGGGGGCCTATAGGGATGCTGGGGCTGGACTATTCATTAGGGACTGTAGTGACAGGACAAGGGGTAATGGGTTAAACAGGGGAAGTTTAGATTGGATATA